CGACTATAGAGTACTACTTTATTAAGTCCATCGACTATTAAATATTACAAAACAATTACTCGACTATTCATTATATTCCAAACTTGCCATTTTTCGTTAAAAAACTAGCGATTATCTAAGCTGAATGTTCACATGATGACTGAGACATGATTTTCGTTTGGGATTCTGGGATCAATTTTAATGTTAGCTCATTATATATTTTTAACGGAAAAGAACGAGTTTAGAACATAATAAATAGTCGGGTGATCATTTTGTAACTTTAATAATCGAATGACTCGTCAAAACAATACTCTACAGTGGAAGGAATATTTTGTAAATTTTAATAGTTGAATGACTTAATAAAGTAATCATATATTCAAATGACCATTTGTGTACTTTACCCCAAATATTAAATATATTTAAACAATCACAACACCATTTAAATAAAATATGCGAACAAAATAATTTCAAATCGATATAATAAAAACTTCTCAAAGCTATTCTTAACTCAATAAGTAGTATTTCCAACTAAAAAAAAAATTATTTTTATAAATTTTGCATCAATTATCATATACTCAAAGAGATTCAGACTTTAAATATAAGATAAATAAATATATTATTTGTATTCATTTATTAATTATTGCTACTACATCAATTAATTAGTTAATTCAAATTAAATTCTGTAAAAATTTATTAGAACGATTTATCTAACTCGTTTTTTTATTCACAACGTGTTTCTCCTCATCCTCCCTTGCTAGATTGTTGTTTGACATGTGCTCCAAGCATTTAAAGAATATAGAGTAAATTACGAGTTTAGTATCTAAATTATTAGTTTTAGTTTGTTTTAATACATAAACTTACAACTTTTTCAAAATCATACCTAAAGTTTAATTTTTGTTTCATTTCATACCTAAAGTTAAATTTTTGTTTCATTTTAGTACCTCACCGTGAAAAACTTTAAATTTTGTTTCATTTTAATATCCCGTTCAAAGTTTAATGTCAAGTTTTGAAAAAATTGAAAGTTTAGATATGAAAACGGATCAAAATTGATAGTTTAGTCACTAAACATGTTAGGTTTTTAACGATGGGTACTAAAACGAAATAAGAACTAAATGTTAAGTATGAATTTGAAAAAAACTAAAAGTTTTGGTACGAAAATGAATCAAATCTGATAGTTTAGGCACTAAATGCGTTAGGTTTTTAACGGCATGTACTAAAATGAAATAAAAACTAAACATCAAGTATGATTTTAAAAAAATTGAAAGTTTCGGTATTAAAGCTGACCAAAATTGATAGTTTAGGTACTAAATGCATAATTTATCCTAGAATCTAACTTAAAAGCAGATTTACTTAGCTATTGGTATCACGTAGAAAAACATCAAGACAAGTAACACATAGCATCTTGCACATCACCTTAAAAGAAAGCATGCAAGAGAGAGAGAGAACAGGGGATGCTTTACAAACTCCATTTCAAGAAATCCTTTCATTTTCATACATGGTCTGTTTAGGGGTAAGAAAATGCTGGCGGCATGTCACACGGCGGGGGCTAGAATTTTATTTTTCGCTTTTCCGAGTAATTTGCTTCACGGTTTAGGACCAGTAAACTTGGACACCAGCAGTTTTCATGCCCTGGCATACAGGACACACACTGATTAGCACATCACACTCTTTACATAAGCAAAGGTGTCTGCATGGCATCGACAAGATGGACACCTCCTTTGCTTTGCATGCTCTGCAGATCATGCCATGGTGATTCCCGGAAACGCATTTCGTTCCACTAGCAACGAGAACGCTGAGGAAGTTGTTGGGATCGATTTAAGAGGCAGCATCATTGATTTCACTGTCTCCAAAACCTTCCTTCCCAGCTGTTCAGCACATGTGCTGTGAGGTTACTTGCTCAAGGTTGGTCTTCAAGAAATTAAACGACCCGTTATGTTTTGCTCTACAGTGCCAATTTTGGGCTTCCATGGCCAACTGCTTTATTCTCTCAACCAGTTCCCTGTTCTTGCTATTCACGGTCTCTGGTTCCACGTCTTTCCTTAAGCTTCTTGCAGACGCCTTTCTCGACAGCGGCAAGAAAAGAGGCTGTGTGCCTTTGCTTCAGGTCTCTCATTCCCTTTGTCATGTGCTCTTGCTGATAACAGAAAAATTCGGGAGTTCCGAAAAAAGGGCATCAGATACCATCACATTTAAACCGATACTCGACTAGATAGCCTACTACTAACTTTTATAGTAAGAACAATGCAAAGACTAAATGAGGAAATAAGTAACCACAATGAACTGACTAAACATCCTCCTAGACATCTCAATGTCAGCATTACAAACAGCCACGAGCATGTGAGCTTTATTATGAGATAGCATCGTCATTACCAAGACGGAATTTAGGAGCCTAAAACCGAGGGATAACTCCAACAGAGAATTCATCGGGATTATGCAGTAAACAAAGAAAGTAAGAAGTGTCTACGGGCCATGTAGAAGGTAAATGCAGCAACATAAATATGAGTTATTAAGCACTACCATGATAAGTATCATTTTACTATACTTGGTTGGCAATACCGTAATCGTACCTGCAGTTTGATATATTGATCAATTTCTTCTTTTTGACGATCAAGTTCAGTTGCAACATTGTCACCGAGTGACGGGATCATTGATGTTCCTTGTGTCATGCTTCCACTAGCGGAAGTCACAGATGAATTCCGCTCATCATCATCATATGATAGTCGTAAGCCGGTTGATACAGCATGAGGATTCGGAATGATAGTGGAACGGTCAGCTTCCTCTTTACAAATGCTATAATTCAAGGAAATTTGTAGCTTTTGCTGCCTTAGAATCTCTTCTGTTTCCCGGCTTCTTTTATTGGGTGGAACCATGTGACTGAGACGCTCATTTCCAAAATAATTCACCGCATCAATGGTACACCCAGCAGGCACTGAAAGTTCAACAAAAGATGGATCAATTGCCATTAAAAACTTAAGAAAAAAAAAGATGAATGTGTGGTTTTTCCTAACAAAATAAGACAATGAAAGAAATTAAAACAGAAACCGATTGCTATAAATGGAAAAAAAAACTTACGGCTTCCAGATAACTGCAGCTGATTCGATGCATTCTTCTGATACCGGAGAAGACGAAAAGAAGATTTAGATCAATTTCACATCTCGATGAATTCCCCAACAGAAAAAGAAACAAAAGAAACCCCTTTTTTATAAATGGTAACATAATAAAGGGAAAAATCTAAAGAAAACATCATCAAAGGCATGGAGAACACAATAGTCTAAAAGAGCTTACCTGCGATACGAAAGCGTTCTCCTCGAATCAAATCCAAACAACAGTAACAGCCCATATCCTGCAATTGCAAACCAATCTTAAACCACCCAGAAATGAAAATACAGTCTATAGGCTCTGAAAGTATTTGACCTCTAAAAGCAAACAAAGAATCGAAGAAAAAAAAAAGGAGCGAAAGGGGAGAAGAAATAAATAACAGTAAGGGTAAACTATCTATTTGACCACTCACCTATTATTTAGTTTCTATTTTGATCACCTAATATTTTCTTCAAAATTATACTTAACGTTATTAGTTGGCAAAACTCACGAGATAATGTGTTGGGAAATTTTATTTCACGAAATAATACTTTCGCCAGATTAATTGCTCAGATAGGACGAATGCTACAGTCCCCATGTAGGTCACCAAGTCTCCGGACGACGTAGGTGAGATAGCATAGGTCGTCATGCCGTCCACGAGTTGTGTTGAGGTCAAGGTCGCCATGCATGCCCAGCATGACCATAGGTTGCCACGTGAGCCGAAGTAGGTCACCTTGCAATTCCAGGTCGCCATGCACGCCCGTGCTAGCTCTAATAATTATTATAAATAATAGCCATTAAAATTGCATGCATGGTACATGTACACATATAATATCAACAAATGCAAATACTGCAATTGCATTGTATCACGTCTCTAAAATTAATAGTAATTTTGAAGCAAATGAATAGCTCACACGAAAAAAGCACTAAATTAACATTAATTAAGGATCGATTAGCAGATAATCCACCATGGTCAAAGCATGGAGAAGAACACGTATGCAACTCCTTTTGGAAAACCCATGCGACCTAATTAACATTAATTAAGGATCGATTAGCAGACAATCCACCATGGTCAAAGCATGGAGAAGAACACATATGCAACTCCTTTTGGAAAACCCATGCGACCTGGAATTGCAAGGCGACCAACTTCGGCTCACATGACGACGTATGGCCATGATGGGCGTGCATGGCGACCTTGAACTCAACATAACTCGTGGACGGCACGGCGACCTACACTATCTCACCTACGTCGCCCGAAGCACTTGGCGACCTACATGTCTGACGAGAGCATTTTCTCGTGAAATAAAATTTCCCAGCACATTATCTCGTGAGTTTAGCCTTATTAGTTTTGTTTTATCATCCGCTATTAAACATTGACAATAATATTAATGTGTCATCATCAGATAATACAACGTAAGTATTCAATTCAATTCTTAATTTTTTATTTAATCTTAAACCGATCCTAATTTATTTCTAAAATATATAATTTAGTCTAATATTAATATTTATAATATTCTATATTTATTATTTATTATAAAATATATAGTAGTCAAGACTTTAAAATTTCCTTTTGTTTAATTTCAATCTTTAAAAACTTTTACCTAATTTTAAATCTACTTCTATTTATTTTTATACGGTTCAAACAATTTCCTTAAAGGATTATTATTATCTTTCGGGATCTTAGGTTCAAACATGGCGTCTACAAAGATGTATGAACGTTCATTGGCAAACGATTGAAAGTCTTTCAAACGAATAATATCCCGCATTTATTTTAAACTAATAATACCAAATTCAAAAAGCCCTTATATTTGTGCCACAAGATCGAACCCCATAAACGTGTCCCATGTTTCCTACACAAAACCAACACCCTCGTCCCGTATGGTCACCATTCATTCATTAAGGGGACCATCCACGACAACAACAAATGCATGCAGCGATCGGTCATGGTTCGGCTGATGGGAATGCTTTCAATATTCTTATCTCCTCAAGATGAGGTGAATCTCTCGATTGGATATCTTGTCTCTTTTGGCCCTTCACTCAGATTATCTCTGGATAACAGTCGCTCTCATTTGGTCCTTCAAATAATTTTCTTCTCCCTTAGTAGCTTTGTCTGCAGTTCTATTTTTCCTTTCGTTTTTGTCCAATTCTGTTCGGGGAAAATATGGTTACTGTTACAACTACCGCCATCTTGTTCCTTGTCTTCATTGCCACCACATAGCTACATCCGAATGGTATGTAATACCCTAGTACTAACACTCGCACTGCAATTATTCTTTCCAAGAATCTCGGCGTTTGTAGTTTATAACCAGAAGATTTGCGGTTCAGAAATGCTAGAGAGGTGCTTGCTTCTTCACATGAACCAACAACAATCCGTCAAGGCATTGGCACAGTATGCGAGCATTCAGCCGTGCGTTACAATCACAGGTGATGCGTCGACGAGCCGACGGTGATCGTCGGGTTTGAGGTTCCGGCGTTTAATGTCATTGATGTGTTTTTGCAGTGTGGAGAGAGCTCGAGAAGGAGAACAAGGACTTCTTTGAAGCATATGTCCATGCTGTCTCTCCCTACAGCTACAGGTCTTTCGTGGGTAAGTGTTAAAGCATGTGCCCTACAATCCCAACCTAAACTATCATGTAGAGTACATGTATCCATGAAAGGATCTACATAATTTATGAAGTTGTTATTACTTGATGAATTACGTTGATATTTGTCCCTTCTCCGGTGATGTAAAATTAAAACTAAACGAGTATTGGAATTCGAATGTAAAACTTGAGTTACTTGTTCTCTTGCTACGGGATGAGCAGCATCAGTTACCTACAAATCCAAGTTTAAAAATGAAAGAAAGAAAATCACGTTTGTTCCCAGTGGGATTCACACGGACAACATCTTCTTCATCTTCTTTATTGGAAGAGCTCAGCGACGATGGGCTGCGCTTGGCTGAGGTGATCTTCCTAGGGGCAGCCGGCAGCTATTTCTTCTGAAAGTACTCCTTTTGGCTGCTTAAGAGAAGCATAATAAAATAATTACACATACTAAGCATATATATATATATATGTATCGTTCACATTTTAATTCTACATTTTTTAAGATAATTGATAAATTAAAATAGATAATTAAGAATAATAATAAAAAATTAAAAAATTTAAAATTTAAAATCTTATATCACATAAGTGAAAACTTATATATAATTATTTTTGAAAACATCAAGAATAATAAAAATTCATAGAAAGATAACATAAAAATAAATAAATAAATAAATAAATAAATAAACATTTAAAATTTTATGATTTGTATTTTATCATTTCAAATTATCAAAAAATATATTATCAAAAATAATATACTGAGAAAACAATTTATTTTTTAATAATTATCATGTTAAATTATCAAAAATAATAAATGTCGTGGAATCTTATATGTACACAATTTATTAGTAAATAAAATATTTCAATTTAATATTAAACTATTAAATATTAAATTTAATATTTAAATTAACACATAAATATTAAAAAAACATTCTTATTAGTATGAAGATAACATAAAAAATTAATTCACATATAATTTAAAAATTATAGCTCTAACCGATAATTTAACAAAAATTTAATTTAATCAGTTATCATCAACTCAAAATTAATTAAATGTATATTTTATTTAATTATTTATTAACTTTAATTTACATTTAAAATTTAAGATAAATTCAAAACAAGTAAAAAATATTGTAATTTTAGATGTATTTGAGTTGGAATAGAAGAGAGATCATTTCAAATTAAAATTAGGACCAAAAAAACCTATTTTGTACCGTTACGAGCGGCACAGTTATCTTCTTTGCCTCTTTGGTTATACCCACGTAAGGGCTAAACTCACGATATAATGCCCTCAAAATAAATAATTCACGAATAACGTATCCCAACATTATTTGCTGAATAGGGCGAAATCAACAGTGTGGCCGTAGGTCGCCATGCCTTCCGGGCGACCTACGACGTGGCTTGCTCTGCATGGGACATGCACAACCCAACCTAGGTCGCCATGCACTCCCAGTGACCTCCTAGGTCGCCATGCACGCCCGGGACCAAGGAGGTCGCCATGCACTCGGGCGACCAAGGAACGGTTCATGCATGGGACACTCGGGGCCATGGAGTCCCGGCAAGGTCGCGAGCATGGATGGGCGTGCTCCTTTGGCGAGATGGGCGTGCATGGGCATGGAGGTCGTTGGCTGGTAGGTCGCAGGGCATGCATGGCGACCTACCAGGTCGCTGGGCGTGCATGGCGACCTGGTAGGTCGCCGGGCGTGCATGGCGACTACCCGGTACTGTAGAGGACACCACTTGAGCAATTAATCTGACGATCCCACTATTTCGTGAAAAAAAAAATTTCAACGCACTATCAACGAGATTTTGCCTTCTGCTCTTCTTCAGCCATTTCAATCCTAGGTTGGAACTCTATTAATGTAATACACTTACGTGGGGGCAAAATCTCGTTGATAGTGCGTTGAAATTTTTTTTTTCACGAAATAGTGGGATCGTCAGATTAATTGCTCAAGTGGTGTCCTCTACAGTACCGGGGGTAGGTCGCCATGCACGCCCGGCGACCTACCAGGTCGCCATGCACGCCAGCAGCGACCTGGTAGGTCGCCATGCATGCCCTGCGACTACCAGCCAACGACCCTCCATGCCCATGCACGCCATCTCGCCAAAGGAGCACGCCATCCATGCTCGCGACCTTGCCGGGACTCCATGGTACCGGGGGTAGTCGCCATGCACGCCCGGCGACCTACCAGGTCGCCATGCACGCCCAGCGACCTGGTAGGTCGCCATGCATGCCCTGCGACCTACCAGCCAACGACCTCCATGCCCATGCACGCCCATCTCGCCAAAGGAGCACGCCCATCCATGCTCGCGACCTTGCCGGGACTCCATGGCCCCGAGTGTCCCATGCATGAACCGTTCCTTGGTCGCCCCGAGTGCATGGCGACCTCCTTGGTCGTCAGGCGTGCATGGCGACCTAGGAGGTCGCTGGGAGTGCATGGCGACCTATGGTTGGGTTGTGCATGTCCCATGCAGAGCAAGCCACGTCGTAGGTCGCCCGGAAGGCATGGCGACCTACGACCACACTGTTGATTTCGCCCTATTTCAGCAAATAATGTTGGGATAACGTTATTTCGTGAATTATTTATTTTGAGGGCATTATATCGTGAGTTTAGCCAGAGCAGAAAGGAGTGGAGGTGGCCATTCATGGAGTTGTCTTGGAAACCATTTTCTCTCGCGTTCCTCTCCACCTTCTTCTCCCATCCTGCTTCGTCTCCAAGGCCTGGAACGCTGCCGTGTTCTCCTCCATCCGCCGCCTCAGCAACCCAAACCATGGCTCTTGGTCCACACCCAAAGCATCTACCACCCACACGCCACCGCCGCCTTCGCTTACTACCCCCGCTCCGACATCTGGCTCCGGATCAACCGAAAGCATCCACCTGAACACGTTTCGTGCTCAACACTGTGTTCTTCCAACTCTACGCTCCTCTACTTCCTCAACTCTTCCGTGTTCTCCTACTCCGTCGACCCTCTCCATCTGTCGTGGCACCACGTCGATCCACCCTCAGTCTACCGCGTCGATCCCATAGCCGCCGTGGTCGGTGAACTCATAGTAATCGCCGGTGGAGTCTGGGGGTTCGAGGACGACCCTTTGGTGGTCGAAATCTACGACATCAAGACTCGTACTTGGGAAAGGACCGAGTCGTTGCCCGCCATGCTTAAAGACTCAGCAGCTTCAACGTGGCTCTCCGTCGTGCTAGTACAAATACAATTTTCATGAAGAGAATATATCCGGCACGACTTATTGCTTCAATCCCGAGTTGAAGACCTGGTTTGGAACCTACGATCTCCGTCCTGATCGGAACATTTACTTCTCGGCGATAGCGTTTCATGGGAACAGCTTGATATGTTGGCGCTGCTCGGTGATTCCGGGAAACACTCGGTGTAAAAGTCTGGAAACTAAACGGCAAGTCCTTCGAGTTCAGCAAAGAAATCGGGTGATGCCGGAGGAGTTGACGGAGAAGCTGAAAGGAGAGGGAACAAGCTTCAGTTCAATAAGAGTAAGTTCAATGGCTGGTTTTTTCTATATATATAATCCTGGTGAACCAGGGGAATTGGTGGGTTGGAAGTTGGAGACAAAGGCGGTGCCGGTGGGGAAGTTTGAAGAATCCGGTGGTGAAGAGGGGAAAAATGTTAAAAATTTAAAATTTTATTTAAATATTTATCTATTTTAAATTGAAATTTAATTGGTAATTTACCATTAAAATTATTAGATATGGCGTTTCCTTTACTTCATGGTCGGGTAACGAAGGCATCCTATCAATATTTAATTCAAATGGTTCAATCTCGTTTAAGTGGTTGAAAGATGCGGATACTCTCTTTGGCGGGCTGAATTACCCTTCAATTTCTTGACGAAAGGAGATTCACTGTGGGTTAAATTCTTGAGAGCGAAATATAGATGTACGGAGGCCGTGCCGGAGGAGCTAAATAATTCAAGAAGTTCTCATCTTTGGAAGGGCCCAGCTTGTGTGTGGAATGATGTTCGAAAGAATACAGCGGTGTATTGGCAATGGTCAGAAGGTCGACTTTTGGTTCGATGCTTGGCTTGATGATTATGGACCGTTAATTAACCATGTGACATCCGCTGGTGCAATTGGTTTACACAGTAACGGTGGCAGCCATGGTAGATGCGCAAGGGAATTGGAGATGGGACTGTTTTGAATCTTTTCTTCCGGTAAGAGTCCTTCTATCCATTGCGGCCAAGAAAGGGCCTTTAGCTCACTTTGCTTCAGATATGGTGGGATGGAACTTGAGAGAGGATCGGAAATTCACCATTAAATCAGCTTATGAGAGTTTGGATGAGGATCGAAACATGGAAGCTGGTGAATTATGGATGGTTATTCACAAGTATAGGGGGCTCCAAAAAATTAAGCTCTTTCTTTGGTTAGTCTACTGGGGACGTGTAATGACGAATGCTGAACGCATGCGTCGACATCTAACGACGGATAGCAGCTGCCCGGTTTGCTTTGCGCCGGTTGAGGACATCAACCACCCGCTTCGACAGTGTCCTTCAGCTTTAACAGTTTGGGAAGCAGTGATCAAAACGGATCGACTTCAGGAATTTATTGGGATGGATTTACAATCATGGCTGAAAACAAACCTTGGGGATGCAACGAGTTTTGCTGGACAACATGAGAACTGGGGCATTCTATTCGAAGCGCTCATTTGGAATATTTGGTTGAGTTGAAAAACCATTGTTTTCGACGGATGGCCGGAAGTTTATACAACTTTACGTAAAGATGATAGCAGCACTTGCTCTTTCTTTACCAAAAAAAAATTTATTATTATAACAATGTAAGTTATTATATTTATCAAAAATAAAATAAAATTGATGACTAAATAAAATAATTAATATAAAAGTAAATAATTGATTAAAAATAATTTATCTTTATTTTAGAAAAAAATGTGGAAGTAAGGAGATGGAAAAGAATATAGACAAGGAAATAGGACCCATATTTGGATAAATGGACCCATTATTATTTTTATCATTATTATTAAATTTATTAATTTTAAAAAAAAAATCTATCATAAAGTTGTAATGTCTGCTTTATTAAATTCTAAGCCCGAACTTGTTGCGTAGGAAGATAGGAATAGTCTCCCGAGAGAGAGACTAACTTTGATTTGCCCCAATGATCTTTTGTCATATGAATACTATTATTCCATCATACTCTCCAAAACAATGTACT